ACAATGCCTGAAGAATTGTAGGTATTACATAAGTTCTTAGCTTTTTTTTTTTTTTTAAGGTTTATTTATGAGTCCATCTGTTTCAATCTGGGAAATCCCATTAAACTGGCTGAAAATGGGAATAGAAGAATCTATATGTTATCTATATGTTAAAGAATCTATATGTTAAAAGAATCTATATGTTAATATCATCACAAAGTAATTAAGCAATATCTCACCCCTCTGAATCCCAATGATTTACAAACTCTTTGGCTGTAAAGGTATCTTTTACACTCTTAATAGGATACAGAACGATTCTTTTTCTGTGGTCTCTGAACGGTGGCTGAACTCTTCAAGCAAGGATGAGAGACGCCAAGTACCTCCACATTCTCAGACATTCCCCCAACCCCTGTAATGTGACAGTCACCAAACATAGTACCCCAACCTAAGTGAATACTGGAGGGATTCCAGGGGATCTTCAGGGCAGTACATCCTTAGCCTGTGTACGCCACTATGGCTTTTCCTCTTCCTTCCCCAAGGGAAGGGCAGGAATTATTGCCCACCCTAAGTTGAATGAAGGGGCTTCTGAGAATCTTCTGTAGCTATTAGGAACCCTACTAGAAGAAAACATTTCCTGGTGGACATCTGCTTATACAGCAGAATTGTGCCTGTCTGAACAGGAAAAGAGGACCAGACTCTAGGTCCTAGAGTGAGGTGGTGGGAGTAAAGCAGATGCTACATCCCTGCACTCATCCAGCAAGTACTTCTGAGGACCTATACAGTAGGCATTCTGTGCCAGGCACTAAATTAGGTGTTGGGGACACCAGTGAACAAAAAAGACCAAAATTCCTGCCTTCTTGGAGGTTCATTCTAGTGGAGGGAGACAGTAAAAACAAGAACAATATGCAAAAATATAAGCTATTAAAGCTGATCAGTCTAAAGAGAAAATCAAACAGAGATGGGGATAGGAAGTACCAGGGGTGGGGAGAGGGGATACTGCTTTGAGAAAGGGATTCTAGGGAAGACCTCGCTTAGAAGCTGGCATTTGAGTAAAGATCTGAAAAAGACTGGGGTCCAGAGCTTGGGGAGGGAGGAACACTACGTTGGACAGAGATTGCAGTTTCAAGAATTGGGATGTTTAACAGCTGCAGATGGCCAGGAAGTTAAGGTATCTGTGATGTCATTAAGGGGTTAGTGAAGAAGAATCCAGAGAGTATGCCAAGGCATTGACTGGAGTCAAAATGATTTCATTTTAATGCATCACTAGTTCAGCTTTTTGATAAACCAGTAACAAAGATACAATTGTACATATCCATATATATTTGTACATATATATAAAAAGCAAGGACTGAGAAACTTAGCCATAGAGACCTTAAGTCAAATAGTTGTTAGTGCCTGTGACCTAAGTATCTTATCTACAACTTAGTGGAGTATGTGTAATTTGAGAGATCTAGCTTAAAATACTTAACAGAAGGGAAAACTGAAGATAATGCAAGTGCCATGCTTTTGAATAAGAAAAATATAAAAGAACATACCCAATAAATATTCCATGCCTTGAGCGGACTGAATTACTTCTGTGCAAACAGAGCTACTACTGATTCCATTTAAGGTATCATTTGCTTTCTTAATGACCTACAAGAAATGAAATCACATCACCTTACATAACCGAGAAAAGTCACTGCAAATCAATTTACTATTAGTAGAAAACCGAAGCAGAAAGCCAGGAGGTGTGAAAGAGCATGACCGACTGCTGTGTGTGTGTATGACTGCGCTAAAACAAATCTGAGAACTTAATTTTAACCTTGAAGAAGCAATCCTTTATTTCTCTGGAAGAGAAAAGATAGAGGTTCTTTAGTTTAAATGTTATTTTGATTTAGGCAGAGTTAATGACATCACTTTGTCATTTCTTAAACATAGTGACAGATGAAGAGACAGGTGACAAATGAGCCAGTGTTTGCTATTATAAATGTGAAAGAAGATGTCTGACTTAAGATGTGTGACTTTCCACGGGGTTTCGCTTTGCACAAGGCCGTCGTTAAGGCTCTCCTGAGGTTTGCCTCTGTCCATTCAAGTGAACCAAGAAGGCAAAACAGCACAAGAGGGCACTTACATATGTGTGAACACAGAAGTAACATACTCACATCCAGGGCACTCCCCAGGCATCTCTGCCATTCATATGCATATCTCTCATTTTCCTGTGGATTTGAGAAAAAGAACTGGTTAAACGCACAATTGTGGGATCCTGTTTATGACTTCTGTCAATTCAAAGAGCTTGGAAGACTTTTCTTTTTATTAAAATCACTCTAGTTCAAGCAGTTTATCTTTTTGAATCCACTATTAATTACTTTAAATTGCTAATTAATGTAACTTCTGAACACCTGACCTGTGAATCCGAGGGAAATGTTTATAGTAGCTTCCCTCTTTAAACGTTGCCTTATTTGTTCCCGTCAGTAACAGTGTAAGGCCTTTCTTCAAAGGTGTTCACCACATAGGTATCCAGTACGCCTTTCCCTCTACAGTTATAATGCTGTGTGTGCGTACACGTGTGCACGTGTGTGTGTGTGAGACAAGAAGCAGGGAAAGGAGGAGAGTCAAGCATGTTGGCTCTTGGGGGAAGACAGAGTGGGATTAAGAGGCAGCAAACAGAAATAGAAGATCCAGAATATTTTCCCTCTCTCCTCTATTTTGAAGTTTTAACATTCAATAAGATGATAAAGTCTAATGCTCAAAAAGAATTCCATAGACACTTTCCTCCTTATGAAATCCCATGAGTAATTTCAGTTTTAGGGTCACTAAATGCTTTTAGTGGATGCTGCATCTGGGAAATAATTCTGCCCAGGGCTAACGTTACCATTCTCTTTATGTCTGGTGCCTTGTGTCTTTCTGCCCCTCATTTCCCCACTGGAAAGCCAAAAGCACTTTTTCTTGGGGACCTCAGTGCTCAGCCTGTCTTTCACCTGCCCCCCTGTAGAAGACTACCTTGCTTACCTCTACCTCTCCCGTGAGATCCTTGTACTTGTCACGGATGACAGGCAGAGCAGGCTTCTCACTCAGAGTGTTGGAACGGTCTCTGAAAGGCTGCTCCAAAGCCGGAGAAGGAGAAGAACGGCTTATTTCTTTATCACCAAGGCTCAAACTCCTCTTGTGTGATCCTGGGAGAAGTGGACGGTACGGTTAAAGGTTTGGATTACTCAGCTTAGTTCAAGCAGAGGCTCTTCTTTGCTAACATGATCCTCTTCTTCAGATGTTTACATCATGAGGCATCTGGAAACACAATCCTCATGCATTTTGTCTGTGAAGCTACACGTTGAATCCTTTCAGTCATTCTCTCTTGCTTGGTTTTCCTGCCTTTAGTTTTCTCTGTTACTCTTCTCTGATCTATCACAATTCTTCCATAATTCTAAGTGCAGAATCACTACAGTCTGGAGCACAAAAGCGCCCTTCTAAATACCAGTGCATAAGAGTTGTGTTACTTTTCCAGACATTTCTTACGGATGTGCAACTGAGCTCCTACATATTCTCTCAATCGAACTGAAATCAATGATCCCTTCTGTAAGGGTGGGATTAAAGCAGAAGAGGTGACCTCAAATGTCTCAGAGACCAGGCAAGTAAAGTAAATGACCGAAGGAGGTCAGTTTGAGATAGCAAGCGGTGGGGATCCTGGCCAAAGAGAGAGCATGCCCCGCCCCATCTACAGGAAGTGCTGTTACTCAGCTCCAGCTGATGTCAAGTCGCGGAAATGCAGGCCTAGTATCGCCAGATATTATGACTTTTCAAGAAAAGCTAGAAATCCAGATTGTGAAATCTCATCATTTTTAAATATTGGCAATTACTTCATACTTTTAAAAAACTTCTTTGTGGGTCAAAGCAGGTCTGCAGGCTGGATACAGATCCACAGCTACCACAGTGAAGCCTTCGGATGAAAAGACACTGTGTGTAACCCGGGAACAAGAGCAGCACTAATGTGCCTGCAGATGGATCAAATCCATTTCTCTGGCTCTTTTAACACAGCACACCTCTAACCGAACCAGCTAAAGAACAATAACTGCATGCTGTGTTTGTTTTGCGCTCAAAAAGCAGTTATTTGAGGCCTACTGATTTGACCTCAGTTTAGTCTCGGGGAAGTCAGTATTATAGCTATCTGTAATTGATCCTGATCTCAAAGACTGGAAAATCTATTTCCTGCAACCAGGGACCAACATTTTATTCTTAAGAAAGAACAACTAAATTCTCAGCGGGGAAAAAAAAACCACGATAGTAAAACCTACCTTGAAAGCTACTCACCTTGAACAGAAAGGTCAAAGGTTGCCAGCTCACTTTTGATCATTTCTTCACTGGATTTCATTTTGTTTTGTGAATTGGCTACTAAAAAGTCAAATTTGCTGATTTTGGGCTTTTCACTTTGAAACTCTCCAAAGTCATCTGAACATTCTTTGGGGGTTTCGTGAGAGGCACTGCTGGAAGCTGGGCTTGGACACAAGGCCTCTTGGCTCCGTTCAGCCGTAGGCAGGTCCTGTCTTCCCAAATCTTTATAGTCCCTGCTTTCATATTCCTTTTGCTCACAGGTCTGTGCAATCATGTCCTTAAAACTGGCAAAAGATGGGAAGGCAGTCTCTGGAAGAGCATCTTCACTTGCAAAGGTCGTTGCTTTGGAGAGAGACGTCATGGTGATGTTTTCAGAACTGCCAAATGAAGTCTCTCTCTTTTGAAGAACTGAGGCAGCTGAGGGGGATCCACTTCCTGCTGAGAGGACAAATGGAGAGAGTTTTCTGCCCTGAGATGCATCATCCCTGTCTGACCAGTCATAGCTTGTGTGTGTGCTCACTGCAAAATTGCTACTGTAGCTTCCAAAAGCAGCATATTTTAAGTCCTCTATATCTGAAAGGGAAATAAGATCCCACAATTAGAGGCACGCGATTTAGGCGAAATGCCCTAAACTCTGCAGAAGCAAAATGCCTAGCATATTTGGTTAGTTTTCTACTACATTGGAATCAACTATTAATAAATGTAGAGCTTATACTAAAATTAAAAGAGTTGGGCTGTAAAATCTGATCTCAAAAAACCCACATTAGCCTTGAGTTGGTATTTATATTTAGTTACCAAGAACCACTTTCTTTGGATATAAAAATTACTAAAAAAGGAGGTTCATCTACCAACATATATACCATGTAATATAAGATTGGGGTCATTTCATAAACTGTTCCTTTATAAACTTTAAAATCTACTGATATTTCCTGCCTATAACATGTCTCCTTTTGTCTTGACTTCGTTGGAAAATGTTCCTTTAAAATCTGGTCACGTGAATGAAAATGTCATGACAAATTAATTACAAATTGACAGTTTCTCAAAACTAAACTGAAAATAATGTCACCTAACTTTTAATCAATTATTAGGAATTTCTGCCTCAGGCAAGGCCAAATATGAGATTTTAATCAAGCAATTACTTACCTGGTTGTTATTTTGGTCAATTTGGACGTCATAATGCTGGGATGGAGTATAAGGAAAGAAACACAAAATCAATCTAATCTACTTTAGTATTTAAAAAATAGAATCAAAGATCTGGGTCCTGTTGGGATCCTGTTTCTCCTTCAACTATGTATTTGCTCCCCCATTAAAAAAAAAAAAAATGAAAAGAAGAAAAAGAAAATGCTAGGGCAGAAAACTCCTTTTTCAAATCATTCTTAATATATATTTAAATAATGTAAGAGGTAGAATAAAACAGCAGAAAGAATATAAGTTTTTTTTATTTAGATAGGCCTGAATTCAACTCTGCCATCTACTATCTGTGTGACACTGGGAAAATGATTTAACATTTCTGAACCTCGGTTTACTTATCTGTAAAACAAGGGGAAGACCATGTACTCGGAAGGGCTGTGTTATGATGCTCAACTGTGATAATGTGTGTAAGAGGCTGGCTCAGAGCCTGGTGAGCAAGACGTAATAGCTAGTGTTTGTTCAGCATAGCTGCCATCAGCTCCAATTTGACATTTAGTTGCTGCTTTAGGGCCCACAATGGCAATATTCAAAGTAAAAGTGAAAAATCAGCTCAGCATTTTAGTGACGTTACTAGGGGAAGACTTTGTTACTCATTTTCAGAAAGCAAAACCAGCTGAGGCGAGGTTAGGCTGGTGTGGAGAAGACCTTCGCAGCAGTGCTGTCCATTCAGTCTCGCTGATACACTTAGTTTCATTTTAGTCACTGTATGTTAGGCAAGAAGACCGAATGCAAGACTCTGTCTGACAACCACCTACATGATTCATAAGGAGATTGCTCAAAAGTTTTGTGGCCCAGATTTTCAGAACTAAGTCAATAGGTGGACCAACTCTGTGTCATTTTTTTAATTTCCTTCACAGCAATACTGCATAGTTTATGAAGGGAAGGGCTCTTGACATTTCCATAGCTCTTCTAACAGTATACCTCAAATCTCTCTGAGTCCTGTTAGGAAAGGGTACTAAATTATTAATAAAAATGGAAAACGCTAGATATACAAAAAGCAAACCAGAGAAAAGCAAATAGCATTTACACAGTGATGGTATATTTTAAAATTCTGTAGTACAAATGGTACTCTTCAAATGTGGTTTATTAAACAAAAGGAAAACAAAGATTCAGGTGAAAAATGTATAGCTTAGAATGAATGAAACAAGCCTTTAGACCAAATACTTTCTTAGTCTCTTGCTGCAGTGTTTTTCTCCCCATTATTTAAAAGGATCAGAAGGTGCCCTGACTCAAATGAGGTGAAACTGAATCAGAGGGCAGATGCTGTTCAACACAAGACTAGTCCTTCAAGGGCTACATTCAGAAGAATGTTTCACAATACAGATATTTTTATTAGACTCTACCAGAAAGCTCTTCTGGGAAACCATAATATAGCAGGAACTGCTCCTAGAATCTCATCTATTAAAAGGGTAGCAATTTTTCTGGAGACCAAAGATAAATTTAATGAAAAGATAGCTCCAGTTCAAACACTGCAACCAAGTTGCTATGGAAATCAAAAGACCCTTTTGTGTAATTACGCAACAAGAAAAAAACCTTTTTAAAAAAAATAGAATGACCAATATAATCACGTAAAAGGCATTATAAGTAATAAGGGATTATCTTAACTGAAGACCTTTTAAAACTATACAGGTCTTTAATAAATGTTATTTTTATTAAAAATGATATATGTGCATATAACAGTTTACCTTTTGGTAAACTCACAGAAATGACCAAATAAAGACTAAAAAACCAAAGACTTAAAATGAAATATTTTATACTTTAAAAAAATAATGAAGAGTTCACTAAACAAGGTTCACTAAAAACCTTCGAAGTTGAGTTTTAAATTAGTTTTGCTTATTTATTGGCTACTATAATGTGAAAAAGTAATTTACTAAAGTGTAATTCATTTGAACACATAAGTACTAAAACTGACAGTACATGAGGAATGTGAGACAGAACACTGTATCCCTAAACCTTAGCATTTATAAATAATATAGAGTAGTCTCTCCTGGCATAGTGAATATTTGTAAACCATTTTCTAAGAAAAATGTGGTACACTGGTTCAATTAAGGTAAAGGAAGAAAACTCCTCATTATCTATGTTAACAGTTCTACATTTTCTAAACAGTCCAATTATACGTATTATTGTATAACGGTCTCAAAATATTAAAGATTATATAAGACCTACAACATAAGTGATAGAAGTCTTGTCTGGAGGAATGATGTGGAATAACCCACATTTTATGTTGTAATAACTGAAGTTACTATAGATGAGTTTTCAATTTGATAGCTGAATTCTGAAAATTGCAAGAGAAAAAGAAAAAAAAGTGGACAATGAATGCAATAAAATGAACAGAGAATCACTACTGTATTTCCAATTCTCTGGATAACTCCTAGACTGTGCTAGGTTGAACTGCAATTACACACAGATAATACACCAAATTCTGTGCTTTAATACATGTATTTGTTTGCAACCAGGAATGTCCTATTACAAAGGCCAAAGGAATAAACTATACAATCTGTTTTCCATCATGGATCTCAAATCAAGACACGGATTTCTTGCTTATGCTGGCAAGTAACCCTATCAGTCTCTTCTATAACCTCTATTCAAATCCCTTTTGAATGGATGTTGTTCAAGGTATTTCTAGGAACAAAGAATGCGAGCTGTCGCTACAGGACACAGAAGGCCATACTCAGTCCCATGGACGTTTTCTAAAGCTGTAAGCATATGCCCAGGTTTTTAAGAGATACTGGCTGTTGAAGGAGTTTAGAGAAAGAAGAAAGGAGATATACGTGCAAATTCCACTATTCTCAAGTGTTTTCTATAGCCATAAAAATGTTCATTTGACTAAGGAAGAAATATGTTTTAATTTCCAATACTGATTTAATCTAGACTTCATTTACTAAAGCAAAAACCATGAAATATTTGTACATTTCAGTTTCTCTCCACCCCTGGCCCTGTTCTACCTTAGGCCCTCTTCTATCTTGGATCTATCTATGAGATCAGTCATATTCATATCCTATATAAACTATAAAACCTGGTCTTTGTCCTATAAGTCTCAAACACCCTGATAGGTGTTGTTGAAGAAAACAGGAACGAAAGTGATCACAGTGTAAGTGTGACAGGCTATAAAGTGCTGCTGTATAATTGCCTTCCAGTGTATTTTCATCTGCATGAAAACCTCCCATTCTTCATTGGTACTGACTCGCGTAACTCTATGGTTTAAATTATATCTGCACTATCGTAAGCACCTTCAGGTTTTCGTTTCAGTGTTTTAAGTTCAAAAAAGAAAACTCGCAAACCTGTGGATATTTTAAGTCAGAGGAGTTTAGAAGACCAAGGAATGAAGTTGGGATATACCGTGGGACGGCCTGTGGTCATAAATAAATAAAAATTGCATCAAAAAGACAACTAAGTAAGCACAGAAGAGAGCAACTGTAATCGGGCCCTTTGGCCATGCAAGCGAGAGCGCAACACCCAGCAGACTGTCCTATGTACATGACCCTCTCATGCTCTCAAAGTTACAGGGCCAACAGTTTCTGAAACAACTTATCAAAAGTACTCCAATGATGGAAAATCAAAGAGCTAAGAAGAGCTCTTTAAAAATAATTTGATTCTTTGAGTTCTTGCAGGATTTAGCACAGCTTCTTTGATGTTACCAGGGTTCCCTTCATGTGCCTGTGCTACTTCCAAAAATCAGCTGGGACTTTAACACGAACAGTAGAATGACTGCAGAACACAAATACAATTGTATAATTTCTCAGGCACCGATATATAATGTCAAGCACTGACCATATCTTATTGGTGTTGGGGTAAACAGAATGGTATTTTTTTGTTTGTTTGAACCTGTAACATAGACTTCTTCAAGTCTTTATTGAAAAAGACATTTATATCATTGTATTATTAAAACTACCTCCCTAAAAAATATGTTACTTTGGGAACATTAATTGCTCAATTTGTGAATATATGCTTTACACACAGTTATATATTCAGTCATTTTCTGTAGCCTGATCAGATAAATGCAGTAAGGAGTTAAAATAAGAGTCCCAGATGGACCACTCTAGCATTAGGAAACTCCACTGACAAAGGAATTCCTCAGCCAGAACCGCCTTGGTCTTACACACAGCACAGGAAAATCCCAAACAAAGGGCAGCCGGATGAAAGCTACACTAGAAGAAAGCTACACTGAGATCTCTTTCTTCCAAATTTGTTAGCATCAGATCACATCATAATTAAAATATAACTCATTTATACAAGGTTTTTGAAACCAATTTTTAAAATTCAACTTTCTAAAGCTTTATGCTCTGGACGACACTGTATTTTGAATGGCAAGCCTGGCTTTTCTTAGAGTTAATCTAAAACCCAACAAGCAACTTTTTACTTTCTCAAATGGCATATTTCAAAAACAATATCCCTCAGGAATCCTACTCAAAAATCCTCATGTTTGGCGATTTAATTTCCTTTCTTTCCCAAATTCTAAAAAAGAACAAACAACTAAAAGCTTTAAAACATAAGAATAAAAATGTTAAACCATGGAAATAGCCCTTTTTTTCCCCTCAAGGTTTTTATTGGTCTTGGGCTTCTGACCTGAAAAACAATAATATTTCCAAGGATTTTTGCTATTATTATACTCTAAAATGGAGAAAATATTTTCTAAGTTTGGTCCACTTTTGTTGCTAACTTACATTGATCTTTCTAGAAATTGTTTTTTTCAAAATGAAAACGGTTCAAAGTTTACTTGACATATCCTCTAAAGTTGTTTTAACAACTTGCTTTATGTGGTATGAGTAAAAAAAAGACTGAGGTTTGCTTCATACTACATTCTGAAGTTAGAACGATAACATGCTCTGGAATCAGAGGATGGAGTAGCCAATTTCAAATTCAAATCAAGTTCAGTCCTAAAGACTTCTTGGTATTAACACTAAACGCCCTCCATTACATAGCTTATCAATTTAAATTCAGTTTACATTTACTGTGCTCAGAAGTCCATCCCAATATCATTTGATGATTTATTTCAAATTAAGTTTATAAATATCTATTTATCTAGTATCTGTGTCTCTCTTTCCCCAACACTCAACTCTTAGGTTTTCTTTCTCACCTTCCCCTTCTCTTCATAATGTAACTACAAGTAGAGGCAGGCCCCCTCTCCAATAAAATATATTCAGTTTCTTCATTAGAACGAACTGGAATAAATTTTCTCTCTCCCTATTATGAAAAGTAGTGTAAAGTTCACACTTTTTAAAGTTTAAACTGTATTTCAAATCCAGTGCCACGTTAAAACCTCACATCAATGAAATTATAAGGGGCAAAGGCTAAAATGTACCAATATTATCTTAGAAGACAGGTGTTTGAGGAAACGAACAAAAGGGAAAAGCCCTCTAGTCTCAGAGGATACTATAGTGTTTTTTTTTTTTTGGAGACAGTGTCTCGCTCTGCTCCCAGGGCTAGAGGGCTAGAGTGCAGTAGCCTCATCATAGCTCACAGCAACCTCCAACTCCTGGGCTCAAGCGATTCTCCCACTTTAGCCTCCTGAGTAGCTGAGACTACAGGCCCGGGCAACTATGCGTGGTTAATTTTTCTATTTTTTGTAGAGAAGGGGTCTCGCTCTTGCTCAGGCTGCTTTTGAACTCCTGAGCTCAAGCAATCCTCCCATCTCAGCCTCTCGGAGTGCTAGGATTACAGGCGTGAGCCATTGTGCCAGGCTGATACTATAGCTTTAAACTTGATACCAGCCAGGTATTTCTTTGGTCTAACCCTGAAAAAGTACAAATTACACACATCCCCACACTTTCAAAATATGCCAAAGAATTATTTATTAACACAGGACTTACAGATCACAAAAGAGAGTGGTACAGAAGAGCTGGAAAAGAAGTCATCAGAATAAGCATGCAGATCAGTATTTGCAGAGGAATATACTAAAGCAAGTTTGAAGGCACATTCACACAGAAAATGTCTAAATTGAAAAAAAAGGCATCAGAAAAGCAGCCCCCCAAAAAGGCGCTAATTAAAATACAAAGATTTGCAATGTCAAAGAAGAGCTACTTTACAGGTAGGTAGGTAGCTAGCTACAGAAGTCTTGCTAACCCTTTGAGAATGTCACAAATGAGGGTAAGCTCTTGCTGCCAACAAAACCAGATGATCGTAATGACTACACACAGTTGCTTCAGTGCCAGAGAGATTAAATTTAGGGGGGTAAAAAAGCAACTTAGTTAAAAGTATATGCAGCAAGAGCTCAAAGGGTTAAATGTAATAATATGCAGAAAAATCAGGCAACGTTATTAGTATTATCTATCTTCCATACAAAGAATTATAGCAAGAGTTAAAAGAGACAGTATCCCCTTCAGAGTTAAGTTAGGGTTTCTAAACAGGATCAAGGTCCACAGATAGCAATCTACTAGGTTTTATTCTCTTTTCATCAGCTCAGTTCTTATTTCTCCAAGAAGAAATACCTCTAACCCTCGAACTAAGAGAGCAAGAGACACTGTGGTAAATATGGGGATAAAATAAAACCACATCACACTGAAGAAGCCCCTGCCATTTACCCTCTACGATACATTTATGCACAATTTTGCTCACCAGGTCTACAGCTCATTGGTCAGACGTCAACCCCTTTTAACAACCGCTCTAAAGGGATACTGCTCCTTTCTGACAGGTTTACAGATCAATGGGAGGAAACAATCTGCTTTTAAGAATATCCTCAAACTGAAGAGAGTTGGCTTGAACGTTACAGGTTCCAAGCTGGGAATGTTCCAAACATACATAAAAGAACATGAGCACAGAAGATTATTTTAACAGGTCAATAAGAACAAGCTTAGTCAAAAAACCAACCTCCCCTTCCCAAAGAAAATGGAAAAAATTTAAAAAAGACACCCCAAACCCGGATTAGACTCATCTCATAAAGACATCTAGCTTGGCACTGTGAAAGAATATAGATTCACTTTCAGAAAAATAGCTTCTAATTAATAATGTCAGAGTCCAAAAGGCTAGTATACATGTTATGAGATTTTTAAATAAAAATCAAATATTGTTGTTCAGAAAACAGAGCACTTTGCAACCAACTGCTGTGGCTCAAGCAGCTCATACAAAAAAAGAAAAGCAAAATCACTTTCTCAAACGAGCAGCAGCAAAAAAATAAGAAAATTTCTGAGAAGTACAAAAAAAAGAAAGTAGACAGTCAAGGGCACAAGGAGCTCTTTAGACCGCCCACTGCACTTGGAAAATACCTTAGCAAGCAGCAACGTGAAATATGTAATGTCTCTGCTAACTTGCCCCTGATCCAGCACCCTGTTTAAGAATCCCTCCAATATTTCAATCACTAAAGGATGGACGCAGTTTTGTTTCCTGACTTATCAATTTGATATATGTGCAAAAGCTATAGTACTTTACAATTTCTGCCTGAATCTGTAAACTTGGAAGTGTCTTGTGTGTCCCTTTCTAGTTACCAAACAAAAAACCAAACCCTTCATATGCATAATACATTTTCTAGAATAATACAATAATACTGAGATATTTCTCATTATTAAAGGCCACAAAATAGGTTTATCTTTCTATATACATATCAAAAAACAAAACAAAAACTAGGACACTTGGGAATCTAGTTTTTATGACAGGAAGTTGGATGAGAGAATAAACTGCTACATGTAAATTTGCACAGAATTGAAAGAGGGCTCCCTAATAAGATGTTTTCACACATTTTATCAGAAAGTTAGTAGTTACCCTATTCTACCATCTACGGATTTGTTACAACTTAATATTTCCAGTAATAGAATTAACACTGAAAACAGTACCTGGATTCCACTAACAACACATGCCCTCTTCCTTGCAGACCCTGACATACAGAACATCCATATATAAGCTCTTTCCCTCTTCTCTTCTTTTTTTAATTTTGTGCCTGTTCCTGAAATGTATCCCTCTTCTTCTCTTGAAGGGATGTGGCAAACTGCACTTCAACTGGTTAGAAATTTTTACTTTCTTGACCTAACAAGAGTTGGTTTCTGTAAACTAAACAGAATACTATATTGGCAGCTGCTAAATATGCCCAAGAGAGGGAAAAAGGAGAGGGAAACACTGATTTCACTCACAGAAATGGAGGAACATTGCTGACACTGCAAAAGTCTTTATAGTAAATAAAATTTCTGGCAATGTGGGGCTCATTTAGCAGGTGGTTTTTATGTGCCTCTAATATACCAGGTTGGTGTTAGATTTCAAAAATAAAAATATTTTAGCTATCCAATCTAAGTTCCGCAGTAGTCATAGTATCCACATATCCATCCAAGTAGCCATAGAATCAAATTTAACACTGCTTTAAGGAGACTGGCAACGAAGAGGTTAATTATTAGAAATTCATAAAGAGCCAGAGCCTCACTCTTATGTAAATCAACACCCACAGATTCATCTTTGAATCTATGTCACCGTCACCAGAGCAATCTCACCAATTCCTCACCTGCGGCAGGAGGATGCTGGCCACTAACTGTTGGTAAATCCAAAGAGCTATCAGACATGACATGCTTAAGATCTCCTCCCACATCAGCCAATTTCATGTCAAACTGAACAGAGAGTGCATCTTCAGAGTCCTCCTTGCCAACACTGCTGCCACCAATGGAAGGGAGATCCAAGGACTTCACTGAAGCAGAGTCTTCTTTGGTGTGCCTAAAAGCCACTGCTTTCTCTCCCAGGGATTTGTCCGAGTTCATGGAAGAAAATTTACTGGAGTGGAAGTCAGCAAAATCATCATCACTTTTTCCTGAAGGAGTGTTATCTTTCAGGTCTTCAACACCTAGTCCAGATCCTTCCAGAGAAAGCTGTTTGAAGACATCGTACTTGGTGGACATGGCCGTGGGGTTTTGTCCACTCTTCGCTGTGCTACCCATGTTGCTGGTTAGAGAAACAGGACTCGCATCTTCTTTAAGGGCATCATATTTGTCATCTGCCTTTTGCTCAGATGAAATAGAGCTATTACTGAAAGCCATAAAATCTGCAAAGTCATCCTGCTCCCCAACAGATGCAAGACTAGAATATTCCCCAAAAAGGTTGAATTCTCCAAAATCATCAGCCAGACTAGAAGTTTTAGCTGATGCCAATGTTGTCGTAGTTGCAGCAGAACCTGTTGGCTGTGGTTGTGTGGAAACTGATTTTGATGTGCTGAATGCAGCTGAAAAAGATAACGGTTTCTCGCTGCTGCAAGTAACTGAGGAAAACATATCTAGGTCTGCTAGGTTCAGAGGAGTTTTCACTTGTGTTTGTTGTTTCTGTTGTATAGTTCCTGAGGGGAAGGATGCTGGAAAAGTTTTGTCTTTTGTTGGTGGCTCTAGTGGTGATATACTATCGGCTGTTTTAAAATCGGTGAAACCATCATCAGCAGATCTGAATTCTGCAAAGCTTTCTCCTGAAAGAAAAAACGCAATCAAATGAATAAGAATGCTGAACTGAAAATGACATAATGCACAGCATATTAAATTGCAAGCATAATTTTATTGATTTTTTTCCCACTGGCTTGACATTACTCAATTACAGTGTAAACGTTACTGAACTCCATGGTTATTTCCACATTGAAGTCTAGTGATACTGAAATAAACAGAAATCAAACTGAAAGTAAGTAACAGTACCATTTTCATTTGCTCAAGCTTTTAGTATGGTATCTCCCCCAGCTCCAGATACTTCGCCTGGCCAAAAGCACTGCTTTCAAGACTTTTTGTTCCTATGGCTAGCTAGCCAAGCATAGAATAGAATAAAAAATAGGTGCTGGAGGTTCCTGTAGAGAGGCATGTTAAAATGTTGGCCCTTTGGCTGAGCACTGTGGCTCATGCCTGTAATCCTAGCATTTTGGGAGGCTGAGGTGAGAGGATTGCTTGAGGCCAGGAGTTTGAGACCAGCCTTGGTGACACGGTAAAACCCTGTATAAAAAAATTAGACAGGTGTAGTGGCACACACCTGCAGTCCAAGCTACTCGGAGGCTTAGGCAGGAGGACCACTTCAGCCCAGTAGTTTGAGGTTACAGTGAGCTATGATGATGCCACCACACTCTAACCTGGGCAACAGAGACCCTGTCTCCAAAAAAAAAAAAAAGAAAATACATACATACATACATACATACACACACACACACACACACGCACCCTTTAAAGATAAAACATGTTACACGGTAAAAAAACAAACAAAACTAGAGGCATCAATAAAGTATTATGAGAAATCCTACATTTAATATTCAGGATATACAACACTTGGTTCAACTGTGCACTTTAAGAATAACATTAGATACTATATGGTCTTGCTCAAGTATATGGAGGTATTAATTTAAAGGGAACTTTTCATGAAAATTTTTGACCAATGAGCATTTATTCTTATTTATTAAAATTCAAAGGGATTTGAATAAATACCAACTCCATTATTTTAAGTTTCAGAGGATATGATTTAGACCTTTGTTTATATTGCGCTACTCTGAGGATGGGGTTACTGACAGAATTTTATATTTTTATTTCTTGGTTAGAGAAAACAGGTACTTACATATGTCTCATGAATAGTTAAATAGACTCAGTTAAGACACTGATAAAAATCTGGGTCTATGATTCTTAAAAATGGTTTCATTTCTTGGCTCGTAGGTATGATGTTAGGATACAGACGAACTCAGTTCTCTAATAGTATTTAAAGGTCTACCGTAAAATCTACTCAGCTAATACTAGGTAATGAAAACCAGAGATGAACCAAATGTAAGTATCGCCATACCAACCAACATCACTTATTATTAAAAAATATGACTGCCATTTCTGGAGATTTATAAATTAAGATATAAGCTTTAATTTCCTCACCCATTTTTAAAATTCTGTTTTTCCCTAACGATGAGATGTAGAAGCATACGAACCATAAAAATGTATTTAAAACCAAAATCCAATTCTTAAAATTATCATATAAAATAATGCAGCCTTTAAATATATTGCACTTATAACATATTCTTTGAAATATCAGATTGAAAAAAGCATTGAAAATAATACAAGCTCATTTTTCTTCCTAATGTTAGATACTTGACCGATTAATATAATTCATCACAGAGAAATCCATCTAATCCATCTAATATCAGGGAAATTTTAGAAAGAGAGAAACGGCATTCAGATTTCCTGTAATTTACATTTGTAAGACATACTACCAATAAAACTAAAGTCAATTTCACAAATGACAGGAGAAACAGTTATATAATTTTTAAAAATCATTCTAGATTTTTAGATTAAGTATATCACTGATTATATTTGTATTATTTCTGGAAATGAAAGGGTGATAAGCAGCCGATTTTATCATAGCCTAAATTTTAAACTGAATTCTCTGTGAAATTGACAAGTTTTGCTTTGTTATTTGGAAAAAAAAAAATCACACGGCAAACTAAACTTACTGATAAATTGTAAACTTTTCCATTAGAAATGTAAGCTGAGTGAAAGGGTTAAAAGGAAATAAAAATGGGTGGGTTTACAAGTTCAAGAACAAAGAGAATTTCTTGGCAAATAAATGAATTGTTGTCATTGGAAGCTTGCCTATCAGAAGGCACAAGAAGCATATCATCTCACAAGCAGTTTTTCAGTTAACTTCTGAATTCTTGTAAGCTTCCTTCTCTGTCAGTTTTTAGGTCCCCAAAATCTCAAAAGAGAACACTTTTTGTTAAAATTTCAATAAGAAGTGTCACTTCTCTATATAGAATGTTTTACTCATTTAATTTATGGCTTGAACTGTAGAGGTAGAGAAAAGGAAATATTAAAATCTACTATTCAGTAACCTAAGAAAACCGACAGCTCTGAACCCAATACTATAAGATTGTTCATAAATTCTAAGATACTAACATACTTTGATGAAGTCAAGTCAATGTATCTTTTTCTTAATTTTTAAAATTTTTTTCTTATCTCATACTTTCAACCCTAGCCAATGCATTTTTAATGAGAATATAAAAAAGATACACCATTTAGGAAAATAAAACACATTCTCCTAAAATGAACAAAGCTGGCAACCCTACTTGGAAGACTTTAGAATTAAAGTTAAGATAGGAATGGTGCTGGATGCAGTGGCATGTGCCTGTAGACCCAGCTACTTGGGAGGCTGAGGTAGGAAGATCACTTGTTCCTGGAGTTCAAGTCCAGCCTGGGCAACATAGCAAGACCCCGTCTCAAAAAGAAAAAAAAGGTAAGAATGAAAGCCAGCTAACAAAAATGACAATGTTCTGGGACTGGACTTGATTCCTAGGCTCAAATGATCCTCCTCCTGTCTCAGCCTCTTGAGTAGCTGGAACTACAGGAAGATGTCACCATGCCTGGCTCTTGAGCAGTTTCGTTCTTTCTTTTTTTAGACACAGGGTCTTGCTCTGTCACCCAGGCTGGAGTGAAGCAGTGTGATCATAGCTTACTGCAGCCTCCAACTCCTGGGCTCAAGGGATCCTTCTGCTTCAGCCTCCTGAGTAGCTGAGGCTACAGGCGTGTGCCACCATGCCTGTCTAATTGTTTAAAAAATTTTTTGTAGAGATAGGGTCTCACTATGTTGCCTAGGCTGGTCTCAAACTTGTGGCCTCAGGTGATCCTCCTGCCTCAGCCTCCCAAAGTGCTGAGATTATAGGCGTGAGCCACCACGTCCAACCAAGTAGTATAGTTTCAACCATGCTTGCCTTATTTATCTCCCCCACCCTAAGCAGAGGGTGGAAATAAATGATTTTTGAAGGATGTCCCAAGTTTGACCATTTAGTACATAAAGGTAGAATGTGGTTCTGCTTCCAGAAGGAAATCCTCATTAGAGTATATACATTTCATAGTATGCATAGGTAAACTTTGGAGAACATAATTTGGCCTATGCATTATCTAAACTCTACACCTCATGTCCCTAGTGGGATTTAATCACAAACATAACTTGCAGTTTTTACATACTTGGCTCTCAAATTATCATTCTATATTCCCTTTCACTGTAAGTCCTTCTATTAGAGATGGTAACCACACATGCACATAAACCTCCATCTTTCTCATTAAATTATAGCCAATCTTGAAAATCTTATCAAGTGGTAACTGAGTTGAACACAAGCAAAGTCTAGTAACTGATCTCCCCTTCTTCCTGGATGAGTGAGCAGATGATTAAATACTGATGTCAGCATCCTTGAACATATCAAGGGAGCACTGTTTGACTACTGCTTCTGTTGGAAATGATGCTGTGTTTTGGTTGCGGTCCAAAGCTTTGAAGTGTTAACTGGCACCCCCATTCTTCAGTGGAGCTCTCACCATTCAAACACAACAGATTTGGTAAATACTAGTTAGGTCGAGTCTTGCTTTCCTCTACTTGGTCATCTTTGTATGAATCCAATGTTTTGTTTGTTTGTGTTTAAATGATTTTTAGCTGATGTTCATGAGAAGTGAGTACCTATACTTGTGTAACTAATGAAGGAAATCCTATCTCGGAAGGTGCACTTCTTTACCAGACCTGTGTCATACCTTTCTCTGGGCCCACTGCTGGAAAGTCGACTCAAGTCTCATGTAATGCCTTTTTAATTGTATCCTCCAGTATTATAGCTAGTAATACAGTACTGTATCATACCCCTGTGGATGTAAAATATCTTGTACCTGCCTGCTTTATGACATGTAGTTGTGATCATACCTTATCAGAGCTATTTTTTTTTTTTGAGACAGAGTCTCACTTTGTTGCCCGGGCTAGAGTGCTGTGGCATCAGTCTAGCTCACAGCAACCTCAAACTCCTGGGCTAAAGCGATCCTCCTGCCTCAGCCTCCCGAGTAGCTGGGACTACAGGCATGCGCCACCATGCCCGGCTAATTTTTTCTATATATTTTTAGCTGTCCAATTAATTTCTTTCTATTTTTGGTAGAGATGGGGTCTCGCTCTTGCTCAGGCTGGTCTTGAACTCCTGAGCTCAAACAATCCGCCCGCCTCGGCCTCCCAGAGTGCTAGGATTACAGGCGTGAGCCACCGCGCCCAGCCAATTTTTAATGACAATATTCTAAAACGTTTTCTTTCCAAAGATTGAGAAACTTAAAAAAAAGAAAATAGTCTCAGGTACCACAACAGTAACAGAAAAAAAATCTTGAAAAGTAAAAGACTAGTTGCAGCCTCTTGCAGTCCACAGACTGCTGTACTGCCAACAGTTCAAGTCTTGTTGAACATTACAATAAGTAAAAGTAGTCACAGTTCTCATTTGACACAGGAATCTAACTCCACGTGCAGGCTTCCAGTGAAAGGGAATGTACTATCTTCAGAGGAAATTGCATGGATCTGGGATTTGCCCTAAATTTTAGAAAATAATTCCCAATAACTAAACCATGTTTGCCTCCTTATCATTTCCAGAGCCACAAAAAGTCTCATCCCCTCTCCACAAGATAATCCCCCACTCAGTTTATTAAACACAGTAGCTACCAATTAAGGTTTTTTGAAAATATTGGTAGTCTGAGTATCTATCATAAACATCACTACTATACCATATTATTTTCTCCATTTAGTTTTTTCTTCCTAAACACACATATGCACACAAAATAAAATAATGTTCAGGAGTATCACTGAAAGAACCATCAAAAAAAAAATCTCTTTTATAAAAAATGGAAATAATTTATCCAAAAACTTACCTAAAGGTTTATTCTCTGTTGTCTCCCTTTCGAGTTCTCTGAAAGCACTGTACTTATCACCATGCTCTAGAATGGAAAGACAGAAGCTCAGTTAAGGTTAGGAACCGTGAGATCACAGCTCAAGGAAGTAAGGCAGACTGAGTTAACAGAACATACTTAACATGTAGCAAAAGCATTTTACACATTTAACATAAAAGGCCACCACTTAAAGAGTCATACAATTTAATGTTACATTCACAGGTTTATGAATTTACAAACTGTTTTTACCTCCAAGTGGAACAGTATTTTCAGAGGACTTGTCAGCTGCAATTCCTTTAAAAACAGCATATTTATCCATTGAAGCTGATGCTTTAGTTCCGGGAAGTGGCATCAACAAAGAAGGGGCACTAAAAGGGAAAAAGAAACATGTCTCAATGATCACATCGAATCCTTCCCTTACTATGACATAGGAGCTTAGAATTAAAATGACAAACAGGTACCTAGTTAAAGCTCATGGCTACACACACACACACACACACACACACACACACACACACTACCACCCACCCCTAACCATAAGTGACTAAAAACAATGTCCTTTTTCTTGGGGGGAAAAATTAAAATAACACGCAAGCAGTAATTTTTTTCTTGATTAATTGAAGAAGGGTAAGATCCATGCTGTCTAAGCATCTCTTTAAGCCATAACAACAATTGGAATGGCACTGGACACAGATTATAAAAGAATGATGACATTTTGGAATTTTAACTTATGGTCCATAAATCTGCAAAAGTGCACTGTTCCAAATACGTATACACAATATTTTAAAATAAATGATGTTAACCTTCATATAAATTCTTCTTTCAAATAGGTTCAGAGTGCAGAGGTAGAAGAGCTAACATAAAAATCTATTTATGAAATGTTGTTCAAACCAAGATGTAAATTGTTTTTCTTTTGATCATATTGCATTGCTTACTGGCAGAAGTTCATACATCTGATAAGCAGCAGTGGAGTTAATACAATTTGCATTTTTACAAGGATCACATCAGCGATTCCAGAAGCTATCTTTGTAGTAAAACAACAATCATTTCAAAATTAGATAAAGATACTTTTGCCTGTGGACATATTTCTCACTGGATGGGAAAATAGTGTAATGAGTAGTATCTGTGTGGGTAATTCTTGGAAGGCTTAAACACATACTGTAAAAGCATTTCCCCCCACCCCCTTATCAGATCCAGGCAGCTCCTAGGAAGAACCTTTACATATGAACCTTACACATCATTCCACCACTAGTTTATGTCATTCAATACCATACACACAAGTTATAGAAATGGATTTCTATTGAGTTCTTTGCCCTGGAGCAAAAATCTTCCCACAGTCATTTAAATCTTCTTATCAGTGGCCTACCAAGGTAAAAACAGGCTCTAGCACCTGCATGCTAATAGCGGTACACAGTGCTTTAGGACTTAATGCCATTAAATATTATAATTTCACATCACTACCAAACAGCTACTACATATCTGATCTTGACAAATGTAAGGGATCATCATCTGTACATCAGAGGTTGATTTTCAAAAATTCTATAATGAATTAAACTTTAAGCTCACTGTACAGAATGTTACATAGGGATAAAGGTAATTAGTGTTTTAGGAAAAAAGCTATTAATACAACGTTCAATGATCTATTTGTTTTATTAGTACATGACCCTTTGACTTTAGCTATGTTTTTTTAAAGCTCATTGGTAAAATCTTTCCATTAAATGTGACATTTTTTTTTTTGAGACAGTCTCTCACTCTTTTGCCGGGGCTAGAGTGCCGTGGCGTCAGCCT